TTGTTTTATATATATAATTATATTATTATTATATATATATATTATATACATTATATTATATTATATTATATTATTATTATTAGCGTTATTATTATTATTATTATTATAAATATTATCTTCATCATCATTACCTTTATTATTATTATATTATTATATATTTTATATTTTATATTTATATTTAATTTTATCGATATTTATCCATTTAACAGTCTATTTAATTATAACTAATATACAAAATTGGAATATAATTTATCCCAAAATATTAGTTTCTTGATTCCATTACTATTGTCAAATATTTATTTGCTATAATAATATTATTTTATACATTCCGAAATCGGGGCATTACAATTTAACTGAGACGAATGAAATATTTTATAAATCGCCAGGAGCAGTAGAGGACCTCTAAGGGGCAAGGGTGGGCTGGATATAGGAGTGGCAATTTGGGCCGGCCCGACCCGATTTCAAACTGTATTGGGCTAGTATGGCCCGATTTCAAGTCAGGCCGGGCCCGCTTTCTTTAAAAAAAATAATTTTGTTTATTTTTTAAGTTTGAATAACTCAACCAAATATATACAAGCCAAGAATTTTACCAACAAGTCATGTTTTAATTTCTGTCTTTGTTTCAAAAATCAATATATATATATAGATTTCTTAAAATTTAAATATTAATTTTAATACCGCGCTGGGCTAGACATGGTCCAACCTTCGTGAGCCCAGGCACGGCCCGGTTCATTAGCGTGCCGGGCTAGACATGACTTGAAAATTTTTGAGCCTATTTTTTGAGGCCTAAGCACGGTTTTTTGTGTCGTGCTCGGACCGTGCTTTTGAGCTGTGATTATTTTTGTCACCCCTAAAATATAGTTAGGGTGTGTAGTATTGTAAGAGATAGGGAGAAAAGTACAATATTTATAGACCTCCAAAGCTACCTCGATAAATATAAAGAAACAAAAGAATTGGAACCGAAATGTCTAAAAATATAACACGACTCTAACTAAACTTTTTAGAAAATAGTAAACTTGTTTTAAAAACTTTGTCAAATAGACCAAGTAAACTAACCGCAGGATTAGTTCCAACAGTATCCTCTATAATCCTGATGTAGCTTCAAACAATCTTCGTCTCTTTTCCGAAAAATAAAAAGGTATGCTCTTCATTATCCATCTGAAGCAAGTTGATCTCTTGCTCCAAAAGAGTTAGGTTGGTTTCTGCCTCATGCAGTTTACTCTTGCATTCGGATGCATAATGTCCCATTTTTCACATTTGAAACAGTTTATATGGTTTTTGTTTCGGCCACTTCCATCGTCTCCATATTTTACACCTTCCTTATTGTTATCTCTATCATGGTCGCAAGTTTTTCGATCATCAAAGGAACTCCTTCATTTTCTTTTTCACTCCTTCCATTGCGCTTCAATGAGGAGTAACTAACTATCTCCAAGACCAATGGGTTTCCACATTTGTGTACGTTCCTCAAATATCTTTAAGCGCCTAGTCGCTTCCTAGAACGGCATACTCCCAAGGTTACATAATTGCTCCATTCCTGCAATAACGAGTTAATACTCACTAGGTAAAGTATCAAATAACTTCTTTACCCGTGTCGCATCATTCAGCGTCACCTCGAGGTTGGAATATTTTGCGGCCATCCCACTTAGCTTTCTAGCTTATTCTTCCAGGATTTCTCCCCCCATATACATTCCCTTGAACTCACTTCTCAGTGTCTGTGGATGTGCCATTTTGACACGATCCGCTCCAACGAACCTCGTTTTCAAGCTGTCGCAAACCTTCCTTACAATCTTCTTTGTTGCAACTTGAAGTAGTAGGTCATACGAGAGCATTTTGAAATGGAGTGCGCTGCCCTCATTGTCTTGATCCTTTTCACATCTATCGCTCTCCCTTTTGCTTGTGCAATAGGGTCTCAAACTCCTTGGGCTTCCATGATCGCCTCGACCTTGATCGACCAACTCAAATAATTTTTCGATGTTAACTAGAATAGACAAACGACACCCTGATGTTATCTCTCACCCACGCATCTTATGGAACAATCGACATTGTATTGAACTTAGGGTTTTTGGACATGGACCGATTACACCAACCTACACCAGACTCTAATACCAATTGTTAGATTTGACCTCCCACATCAATGATAAACGATAAGCAAGCAACAAGAACAAGCCATGAAGATCCCACCTTATCCAATCGAAAAAAATGTATATATATATATATAAAAAAATATATATAGATAAATCTAGAGGTAGAAAGAAAATTGTGAAATAAATGTGATGGTGTAGTGTCATGTGGTTGAATTTGGTTATATCTATAGTTAGGGTGAGTTTAGTATTGTGAGATATAGGGTAAAAGGGAGAAGAGAAAAAGGACAATGTGGTGATTGTTATTAAGACTAGACGAAAGGAGACCAAACAAATAAATAAGTTTTGTTTGTATTAGTAAACTTGTTGAATTACGATGAATAGTTGAGAGCACATTATTTATAGACTTTCAAAGTTATTTGGATAAACATAAAGAAACGAAAGAACCGGAACTGAAATATCTAAAAATATAAGTAGACTTTAGAAGAAAATACACTTAACAAACTTGGTCAAATATAGATCAAGTAAATTGACAGCATGATTATTTCCAACACTATCATGGTACCTTAAAAGACATTGGCCCCTAAAAAATAAATAAAATATGTACGTGATGATCATAGCGAGTGAGATTTTGAAAGCTATCCAAGTTTGAAGGGGTTGATTTCCGGAATTGTCAAAAAAATGCATTTTATTCTTACTACTATGAAGGTTGGGTATGTTCTTAACACCCCATGCCCTAAGATAATTGAAGACGAGAGTTGGAGGCAACCAATGAAAAATTAAGTAGGAAAGTTGAGTTAAACTCTAGATATTATTGCATATGTTGTTGGAATATTAAGTTGATTCACTAGTAAATCAAATGTTCATTATTAGCAAACACATAAGAAAGTATTCAAGTAATTATAGGAGCAAAAATAAGAGAGTTACCTATACGAGCATGAAATTTTTCAGCTTCAAGAGAGGTTAAATTTGCTTTCAATGTACCCACAACAATGATTCTCGAATATTTGAAAGTGTGGGGTGTTAAGCTAGAATTAAATCTTTAAGATATATTTTTTTATGCATGGATTTATTGTGTATAGTTGTTTTACTTTGATAAACTGAAGATTACGCTAAAATATTGAAGAAACGCTAGTAATTTTATGGCAATTGGATTTCTTTAAAACTAAGGGACACTAAAACTACTAAGTGAACACAAGGATGAGGATGTGTGAAGTGTGCGCTCGATAAATCTAGCATCATCTTTGTTTCTTACTGTTGGGGTGCAAACTCAAGTCTCACATCGGAAGTTGTAAAGAAAATTTCATATCTTATAAGTCCCAAGTAAACTCCGCTAGTATGAGGCCTTTTGGAGAATATCCAAAAACAAATCCGTGCGGGCTCAGCCCAAAGCGGACAATATCATACTAGTGTTGAGTTGGCCCAGTCCCAACAGTGGTATCAGAGTCCGGTTAGATGGTGAAGTGGACTGGGTGGCATCGAGCATTGGTTGTGGTGGTGGACTCGTCCTCGTGACCTACGGATGAGCCTTGTGTCGAAAGTCTCCTGGCGGTGTTGGGTCGGTCCTGATTGAGATGGACAGTGGGTCCCTTTGTGATAGGCGGTACAAGGTGGGCAGGGAAGGCCATTGGTTGGTCCTTGGTTTGAGGGGAGGATTGTTGGGGTGCAAACCCAAGTCCCACATCGGAAATTGTGAAGAAAATTCCACACCTTATAAGTCCCAAGTAAACTCTACTAGTATGAGGCCTTTTGGAAAATATCCAAAAACAAATTCGTGCGGGCTCAGCACAAAGAGGACAATATCATACTAGTGTTGAGTTGGCCCAGTCCCAACACTTACATTGTATATAATGAAACAAATGATGGATACAATGATAAAGGCTCACCACTTGTAGAAATGTATTACATGATGAAATGTAGATTCATGTACCTACATCCAAAAGGGGGTATTGATTCTAGAAAAGGTATTTCTGAATGAGTGTGTCTATTAAACTTTAGATTCAAAACTTGAACTTAAAAGTGTAAAGATACAAATCTACATTCAAAATTAAAGTTTGAGTTTGAAATTCAAATTTGAAATTGAAATTCCAATCATGCGTTGCAACATTTTTTTTTTTATGACGTGGAAACTCGCAGTCGCTACCCGAAAGTGCGCACTGGGTAAACTCCCGGCCGAACCTAATACCCTGCAAACTAGGCCCGACAAAACAAGTCACACTAGGCGAACCATATGTGTGCGTTGCAACATTTCGATTGAAACGAAAGGGCACTTACTGTATCTATATATATATATATATGGTAGTTCTTGGTTTCCTATAAAATATTTAAACATACAATTCCAGTTGATTTCTTACATCCATGTATATTTCATTTTTCCTAACTTCGATATAACTCATTTTTCTTACTAAAAATTGTGTTTTTCCATGTCCTATCTTGGACATATTTTTATACTCATGGAAACACATAAGGTAGAAGTGTCATATTTGGACAACATGCTCAATATAATTAGAATAACTATCTAAAATTCTATCATTGTCCCCTACAAGACATACTATTCCTAGCATACTCCACACCACCTAACACTTATTGTAACTCGATAAGCATGAATCCCTCCAACCTTTAAATAAATTATAATTACCTAAAATAATTTGATAACACTAAAATTATCACTAAGATTTCCTCAAATATGCAAGCAACATGAATCAAACTCAAAGAAATAAGAATAAAAATAAATTATAGGAAAATGGAGATAATGAAAGAACACTTATTATAAAAGTCGATAAAGCAAATGTTCATGAAGATAATTCAAATAAAAAACCTAAGTTTCTCATGCAATAAAACACAAATTTAAATCAAAGTTCGAGTTCAAGGGCAAGCCATCGAAACTTGTTTAATTCTTGTCACAAAAATGTGACTTCTTCAATAGTATTCATCATATTCAGTTGTCCATGGCCCTTGAAGTAGCTCAAGGAAACTCCTAGGCAAGCCATCCGAATTAAATAGCTTAGGCGGCGGTGGTGGTGATGGCCGCGGCGGCGGCACAATTCCCAATCGAGCAAAATTCCACGGTTGTGTTAGGGTGGCTTCTGGTGGCGGCGACGGAGGGGGTAGTGGTGGAGCTTGATGAACAATGTGTTGTTCATGATCATTGTTTGCTTCATGCCCGAGATTTTGCGCATTGCTAGCGGAATTGGTCCCTGAGTTTTCAAAAGCGCGGTACTTACCCATGTAGGTTGTGAGGGGTTCGACATATTTGTCAAACCCCAATGATTCCATGGCCACAAGTATGTCCTGAGAAGTCACCGTTTTACGGTACTCTTGGTTGCATTTTCTATTAGCTTCGGATGTCACAAAACTAACAAACTCTGTAACACACTCTTGGAAAACCTCTTTAGCATCGTCCGTGATCTTAGCATGTTCAGGGAGGGCACGACGCATAATGCGCGAAACATTGGCGATGGGCATGATTTGGTCGGGGTCACGCCTTGGCGGAACCTGGTTGATGTCGATCCTCGCTACACTGTTTGTTGGCGGGGATCGTGGCATCTCCCGATTCAAGTAAATCCCGCGCCCCCCTAGAACTATGCCTACACGAAATAAAATCGACATGAAAGTAAAAAAAAATTGAATTTACTTCAAATGGAATACAAATATTAAACATTTTGCATTCACTCAACAAAAATTTTTGAACACGCTTCTTGATTAATATTATCAAATGATATAGTATGTACACATACTCACATAATATATAATATATATTCTATCTATATACGGAAAAATCAACCATTCAACACAAATATTATTCTTTATATTATCAATACATTTTTCTATGTTTAATATAAAAAATACCTATCTAAAAACACAAAGTGAATACACTTATTTCAAAGTAAACAAACTTAGATCCTAAAAATTCAATGGTTTTTAACTCATAAATCTTAGATCTAAATTTAGCTATCGTAGAAGGGATTTTTAAAAAGAAAGTAAAAAATAAGATTTATATAGAGTTTGTTCACATATGTTTTTTAATCTGCTATTTTTTTCTTCTTTTAAAAACATCGCCTTCAAACACTTCCCTCAAACATACACATTATTTATGAACTACAATCACATCAATAGATAATCGATTCTAACAATCACAACTTCATTAAAGACATAATTGAAAAAACTACGAAGAGTTATTTAGATGAAAGGATTTAACTAAACAAATCTTATTTATATATAGATATGTATTTAGGCTAAAGTTACTTCGATTAGCCTAACTAATCTAGCATTTCAATCTTCATTTTTAATTTACATCCGTAGCGAAAATTAAAGAATGTAAAAATAAATAATTTATTTACCAGATCTAGATGATGGTTTTGCGTATTTTCTCTTTAGATTCAAGAATCCTCTAGCCTCCATCTTCCAAGAGCACGCTTAAAATCTCTGAGACGTCTTTCCTTGCAAAAAAAAAAAAAAAAGAGCAGATTAAGATCGATACCGCTATATTTTCATGCGATGTGTAGCGAAACTTCACTTCGACGAAATCAAATTTATAGGCAAATAAGGCCGTAGACGCGGCCCAAAAAGGAAAAGCAAAAAAGGCGGCATTTCATGGCAAATTGTAATAAATTTTGAATTTTATAAATATCTAAGACAAATAGTCGTCTGTGCCCGGAATATTTACTTTTTGAAACTTTATAAAAAATAAAATATATATTTATTTATTAAAAAAATCAAGGAATTATTTTAAAACTAATAAGATTTTATATAAATAATTAATAAATTAGTATAATAATTATTTTTTAATATTTTCTCTTAATAATTAATATGCGTTAATGTAAGTATTATAAAGTGATAATAAGAATTTTAGCATTTTTTAAGTAAATCAAAATTTCAAATACTCATAATTAAAGGTTTTTGCAATTTTTTTCAAAACTAATATGAGATCTTGTTACAAATAATTAAAATATTTTTATTTAATTGCAAGATTAAAATAATCATATTTTTTATTATTATTATTAAATCTGTAAAAGGTATGTATTACTTATTACTTTTATTTAAATATATAAATATGAAACTTTTACATATCATATACAAGTTAATTTCATATTTTAAAATGTACAAAATCTTTATCCAGTAGAAATTTAATATATAAATAAGAATTTCATATTTTTTTTATCAAAAATATTTAGTCTATAATTATTAATATTTGGATACTTATTATTATTATTATTATTATTATTATTTTAATTTATTTTTTTATTTACTACCTACCCATTTCTTTATTTTAAATTTATTGCTTTTATTAATTATTCACCAAATTATTTATAGAGCTGATATTAAAAATAGAATCCAAATGTATTTATTACCAATTAAACATTAGGATAGAGGAGACTTAATTAGGACAACTAAAATAGGTATCAATTTTAAAAAATTTAAAATAATAAATGGAAAATGGAAAAAAAATAATTAATATGGCTTACATATTATTGTCTTTTTTCCGAATTTCGATTTTGATTTGAATTTTAAATCATCAAAATTTTGAATTTGAATAGTAGTTTATAGGGAAAATTGCAAAAAATATTTTGTACACCTCATTGTTACTTTTGTCTTTTATTTATCTCGTTGACAAGATATATCATATACCTTGTCAATATTGATGTTTTAATAAGTGGTGTATATCAATATTTTATGAAATTATATTGTTAATTGTATAAAATATTGGGTAAATTATATAACATCCCCATGTATTTTAGTAAATATTCACAAAAAATTTTGTGTTTTATTTATTGCGTGAAATCCCCCTTTTGTTAATGTAAAAATTTGCACGAAACACTCTTCTTGTCCAAAACTGATATTTAGTTCTAAATAAATACCTAAATTACGCAAGTTTTATACAAATAAAAAGAGCTTTTACATTAAATAAATAAATAAATAATTTATTAATCCTTCATTTTATAATTTTTGGAGACAAATTGTTGTATGATTTTTATAAAAATTATAAAAATAAATGATTGATCAATTATTTATTTATTTATTTTATTCAAAAAAAATTATTTAAGATATTTACGTTTTTTATTTGTATAAAATTTATGTAATTTAGGTCTTTATTTCAAATCAAATATCAATTTTGAACAAGGAGAGTGTTTAATGCAAACTTTCAATTAACACAAAGGGTTTCACGCAATAAATAAAACATATGGTATTTTGTGCATTTTTAGTAAAACATAAGGATGTGTTATATAATTTACCCTAAAATATTTATGGATTTGATCGAGTGTTAATTATATATATAATAGTTTTAGCAATTTCACCTATTGTTTAATTACATGAATTTTGAAATTTTAAATGTAATTAGATAATATGACTCATGTGTTATAATTTTTTTATAATTTTTAGGTAAAATAATTGTAATTGATTGTGATATTTTATATAAAAATACATGTTGACGTAACGCATATATAAAATCTAAAATTAAAAAATATATATATATATTAAGAAAACAAATTTTACTAGTGCTGAGTTTTTAAATTAAATATCAAATCTATAATCTGGATTTGTATTGTTGTTTTATAATTTTGTGCATATCTATATATATATAATGTTAATCTTGTTTCCAATATTGACCATCATATATACCTAATGTTACGAAAGATTATAATTATTTAATTTATCAAATTAATATATAATTAAATTTTCGTCCCGGAAGAGATGGCCTCGTGATGTAAGGATTGGACGTGTGACTATGGAATCATGTGTGCCACACATGGTTCGCCTAGTGTGACTTGTCTGTCGGGCCTAGCGGCGGCTGCGGGTTACCACATCATATAAAAAAATATTTTTGAAAAATATTTTAATGAATTAATTAAAATATTAAGGTAAAAAATTGGGTCAATTTGGTGGATTAAATCCAACCATTATGATTAGCTTTTTAGTGATACATGTTTAGTTAGATTTTTTAATATATATTGTATAGGTTTCTTTTAAAATAACAATAATAAGTATGATATTAAATATTTATTTTTATTGAGAATATTAAATTAAAAAGTATTTTTATTTAAAATATCATACTGAATAATTATTTATATTATATCATATATTTTATTACTTTTTATTTAATTTTTTTTATATTATGAAATCAAGTCAAAATTTCAAGATACTTTCAAAACATACATATTGGTATATGTTTTTTTTTTTAATTAAATTATTACTCCTTCATCTCACTTACCGTGTTCATTTTTTCATTTTCGTATGTCCCACTTATTCTGTCACTTTTTTTTCTAGAAAATAATTATACATTTTAATCTCATTTTAAATTTTTAATTTATAATTTTTTTAATTTTAATTAAACTAATTAGTTATCTTAATCTTAATCTAAAATTATTTTTATTATAAGATAATTATTTTCACTAATGCATTCTTAATTATTTGCTAATTATACCCTCTAAATTCTTGTATATATAGTAAATGGGACACCGTAGCCGGGACGGAGGAAGTATTATTTATATACTTCTTCCGTCCACTCACAAAGTATAAATATTTATATTTTTATTGTTCAATTACAAAGTAACTATTTCAAAAATATTTCACATTTTTCTACAAATATTCTATTTTATTATCATATAATTATACGTTTACTCCAAAAAAAAAAATAGTAAAATTATCATTACACTATTTTTAACTATCGACTACAATTAAAATATTATTATTTTTTTAAATTTAGTTCAAAAGTAAATATATACATTCAAATTAGACAAATGTAGTATATAATTTGTATAATGCATATAGACCGACCTATAATTTTATTATTTTACATTAAATAACAAATCTTTTACTTGAATCTAACTTGACATCAAAGTCACACTAGAAAAATATTGAACCCAATGTATCATGTCCATTCATTAATTTCCTGATGCATCTCATCACACTGGTACGACCAATGTATTCTTGACTTTAAGACAATATTGATCATTGAATTTCATCTTTAGAGATGGCACATGTGAGCCACACTCTCAATCAAACCTTTCATTGTTATTGCACTACAAAAAAATAATATATTAGTAATGGAATTTCGTTTCTGAAGTGTGTGATTAATGCAATTCCCTCTCTAATTCCGTCTCTAATGCCTTTAGTAACGGAAAAAGGGAATTTAGAGACAAAAAAAACTTTGTTACAAAAATGATATTTTTTTGTAGTGTTGTTACTATTCACGCATAAAATGTTAGATCGCCAGATTATTTTTGCGGAAACAATCTGAGAATATTTTTAATCTATTTGTCAATTTTGTTTCAGTTTGATCAAATTTACTTATATGACCTTTGATTGCCTCTTCAAGTATTCAACATATGTTTGAATGCTTCTCAATAAATTATGGATGCAATACGTTAAGGTCACATTATTCAGCATTATCCTATCCATCCATCTCGGCCTACATAAATTATCTCCCCAAAATGTTCAAAACCCTTTTATATTGCTTCTCAAAATGCACAAAAGACTTATCACTATGACTCCTCTTACACGGCTAGTGCTCTAATCCAATAACACTTAGACATCGAGTCTCTCCT